CTAAACGAACACCAAAAACACTTTTACTTCAACATTTTCTACGTAGAAAATTATACCAATCAAACACAATAATTTACAATTCCGTGGAAAACTATTTCTAGGTAATTCAATTCCCTAGAATTCATTTTCTTTCCACCCAAATTCCATATTCGCAATCAAACAGATTCTAAGTGTAATTAGATGCAAGAAATAAAAATCGTAGTGTGAATATAATTAGCCTTATGTTTTTCTTTCGCTAAATCAAAGTTACAAGGATTAAAAAAAACAAAAAATAAATAAATAAAATAACGAAGGTAAAAATTAGGGCCAACCCACCCAACCTTTCAATTGCGTGGTCTTGAGTCGTTAAACCTTCAAGGTTAGCATCTACATTTATTAAATGTGTAAATATACTTTTACGTGACGAAATCATTAATATGGATATCGAGTTTTCAACTTTAAGTATGATTTTCATGTCCATGTTGAAAGTTTAGTCATGTACGACCTAGATTTACATATTTAAATAATTATGTACAAAAACTTTACTTTTGAAGGTTAAGGAAAATTGTAGTTGTGATCTTCAACTTTTGCCAAGGATTTAGCCAAAAATTGTAGTTTAAAAATTGAGTTTAATTAATGAGTTTTTGTGCTTTCTTCGATCTTCATCAACTGGGAGTTGGTAAGGAACAACTCCTCATTGATGGTAAGGAGTTGGTGAAGAAAGTGACGTCCAACTGTAACACCAAAACTTCAAAAAAGAATTGGATGCTCTAGACGAAAATGATAAAGTACTTTTACACCAGTCATAAAAAAAGCATTGGTGTTTATCCTATTGATCGTGCTAAGATGCAAACATCACAAGATGTCTATCAATCTTTTTTCATTGATTGTAGTAGACAATCATGATATTTTCCATAACTGTCAATGCAGTTGGAGGTATTTCATGCATACATTGCATGTTTTTTAAATGAAGCATTCTACCAAGATGCCTATAGGTTTACATTGGCATGTGTGTACATGCTAATCCTTATTATGCTAACATTTTATTAAATTTCTGCTAACATTTATTAAATTTCTATATGTAATACTTATAAGTGTTGTAGGTATTGGCCTCAAAGCTGTCAGCTGTTATCATTTTATTAAATTTCTATATGTAATAAAGGATTTCCTGCGATTATTTCTAGTATGGAATGAGTCAATCATCCACTTTGGGATCTTATTGAACAAAAAGGGTGATATTGTTCCTCCATTGATCAAGAACTTCGATTTTCGGCAAGTATCATGATCATCCAATAAGAATGGTTATAAGTGTTGTAGGTATTGGCCTAGAAAACTGTCCTAGCATTGATAACTAAATAGAAAATAAGAAAACAACAAACAAGGTCTTGAGGATGCTGAACTAGCAGGCAATGGATGCCCCGAATGCAAAAGATATTACCAAAATCCTTGACGATCTTTGAGTAAGTATAAATTTGTATTTTATATTTATATTCACTTATCAAATCAATGAGTGACCATTAAAGTTTTGAAATTTGGATATGGAAGTCCATATAGTGCTGGCAGCTATAGTCAAGGAGATAGTGCAGGGGTCAGTAGGAGGATTTGAAAATCAGAGATGTTAAGCAATGGTTTCAAAAAGTGGTGACAAACATGTAGTGAATATTGGACGGCGCAAGCAAAATTTTACATTATGTATGTTCATATTATATATGCTATTATTAACATACCATTTTTTGTTAATGAAGCATGTTGACCTAACTGTGTGTTTGTTGTGACTTCAAGCTAGTATGTATTCACAGTCATTTGATGCTGCCATGTGAGTTGTTCTAGGCTTCACATTCAAGAATGTTCTTGATATCGAGCAGAAGATAAGAGATGTAGATTTGAACATGTACAACTTGCCAGATTATCTCTTGGCTTATGTGTATAGGAATGATTCAAGACTAGGTAAAAAGTAGGATCATTTTCACATCTCTACATTCCAATAGTACCGAATGGATATTGGTTTGCCGGCGAGTTTGAATTTATAAAGTTTGCTGTTTATCTATATGAACCTAACAAGATCTATCACCAATGTTTTGAAAATCGACCAGAATGTCGACTTGAAAAAGATATAAGGTTAAGGGTCAAAATGTTTAACCGAAGTCGAACCAATTGGATACAATAAGTGTCAATGAGATCGACGTAGATTGAAGAAGATTAATACTTACCAAATATTATCCATTTACATAGTTCTATATATAATCGTATTTAGGTTATAATCACCCTTACCATATTTAGATTATATTGATTCCCATATAAATGTGAGGAATCCTTATGGAAAAATCATTCAGTCATAAAAGCTTTTTTGGTATTAGAGCCTAGTGGACTTTATACTGAATCCTCGATTTTCTTTGGTTATAACTTAGCTTTTCAGATGTGGGTTTCTTGTGATAGTCCACGGTTGATAGAATTTTGTTAACCGGTGACTCTTTGGTAGTCGAGGATAGTGCTAACCTTTGGTATTCTGGGGCCAATTTGCAAGCATTAACGGTTTTCTTTCTGGTGTAAGGTTTCTAGTCAGAATTTTGGTTCCATTGCCAGAACATGACTTGGGCAATTTTCTGGTGTTTCGGCTTTGAGAATTTTTTAGTACAGGAAAGTTACCTTTTCTTGTGAATCTCAATTTTGGCAGCCAAAAATATATAGTTATTTCTTCCACGAATTCCTTTTTTTATTGGGATTTTTGGCTGAAATCAATTGAGGTTTTTCGTTTTAGTTGGCTGGTAATCAAAGTGCTAAAACTTTAGCCACTATTCCAGTTGACCATGAAAATTTCTAGAGGACGATCTTTTTCATGTCATTTGTATTTTGTATCAATATAGTTTGGGAAAAGTGAGCTTGAGCTACATTCATGTTTCATTTATGCAAGCAATAAGGTACTTCCCTTTAGCAACAACAGCTTTCTTATAGTGGCTAGTCTAGAGAAAGTACTTTGACTCTCGAATTTAGACTTCTTTAATTCCCATTGTTAGTGGGTTTGTCGGGTGTAGACGATTTGGTTAAACAGTGGTTTGTTGTTGGTGGAGGTAGTAGCTAGGTTTGTTAAACTACGTAGTGGTGGAGTGTTTGTGTTTGATGGGTAACAGTATGTGTTATGCCGATGTTGTTGACGGTCGAGAATGTGGCAGTGAAGGCTGCAGCTTAGGTTCGATGGGTCTGCCGTATTGGACTGCAATTGTGAGCTCTTGTTTATTTTTTTGTAACTAATGGGCTTGGTGTGTATTGGGTTCAGAAGGATTATGGTTTTGGCCCTTCTTTTTTAGGAAAAAAAATAATGCATAAGAGTTTAACTATGACCCATTTCAAAATTAAGAAATAATGTCTAAAATTTCAAAAAAAAAAAATCAAATTTTATTTATTAAATAATTAATTAAAAATACATTCTATTAATTTAATATATTAAGGTCAAATTTTATACAATTTGGTCACAATTATCAAATTAATTGGTTATAAGTTAATTCTCAATCACAAATAAAAAAATTTATAGGTCACATTCTATTCATCGAGCACAATCAAAAATTGTATAAATCAAAAAATATTTCTTGTTCACAAATCATAAATTTCATATCTCACAATT